TTTATTAATAGTAAAACGGGGAGGAAAAAAATTATCGGTATAAGCAAATATCGTTATATATTGTATCGGTATATCGAAGTTTGACTGTAATTCGTCTTTATAATTATAAAAAGGCTTTTAAAAACAATAAGGATCACTTCAAAAATCTCGTTTATTTTAAAAAGAAATTGAACTTTTCCCTATAAGCTGACAGAGAAAGAATAAAATATTAATATAAAATTGCATCCATTTATATTTTTTGTTTCTAGCAGACATAATTCAATGTTATGTGATAAATGTTATAGCCCTTAGGGTATTGCGCCGTTTACAAATATTTTCATTCGAATCCGTTAACAAATAATATAATTCTTGTTTAGGAGCAAAATTTTATAATTTATTAAAAAAAAATAATTATTTTTACAAGAAAAAATTTATGCTTTTATAAAAAATTTGCGATTAATTAATTGAAGATTTCTGAAATCCTAGCGATATGTTTTATGTTTTCTTCCCGCTCATTTTAAAAAATTAAAGCCAAAAAAGCCAAATATATCATCCTCTACAAGAAAAATGAATGATAAATCAAAAGAACAAAAAAAAAATAAATATTTGAAAGATATTTAATACATTTATGTATTTAAATGTTCGTGTGTTGCAAATTCTCTATAAATTTATCTTATTCTTTCAATTATCTGGTCAGCAATTTATAAGTCTACATAAACGAAATATAAGAAGAATAAATTTTTTTTAAAATTTATTATAAAAAATATTATTTTTAATAAAAAAAAAAAAAAAAAACTGAGTGAAATTTGTTATTGTATATATCAAGTATTGAATTACTAATTTTAATAAGTAGCAACAAAGAATCACAAGATATAATAAATGTAGCGTGATATTAATAAAAATGTATTGATACGAAAGATAAAAATTTAAAATATATCAAGGATAAGCGCATAACTTCTCGTAGTCGCACCAAATCTTATCACCAAGAATCTTTTTAAATTTGTTCCACTCACAATATTCCGCACAACCCGGAATATAAAGCGGTTTAAATCAAATAATATTCGTATGTATACGTGATTACCGGAATTTCGAAATAAAGATTAGAAGACCAGTGTATGGTCCTATATTCTGAATATTCGACGTTTTGAATATGTTCAAAGGTAAAATTTCCCGTGAGTGGATATTCATTTTTAAATAACCCCTGAAATTAAAAGAACATATATCGTTATCATGAATTAATAAGATAAATAAACAAAATGAATTAAAACTGAACTGTATGAACATGCACAAATTTACATACGTATCATCATCATAGAAAAAGCATGAGCATTTTTTATATCAGCTTTCACAGTAGAATTCCCATACAAATGACCTTTAACTCCATTAACAAGTTGAGTAATATATCTACAACCTATTTGTAAATTAAGTGGGCTACCATATGATAATCGATAATAAAAGTCCAGATCCCAATAATATCGTGATAATAAAAGTTCTTTAGGACTCAATAAAGAACACCATGCATCGGTTCGATTATAAACTGTGAGCCAGAATTGGCAATTAGAAAACATAAATGGTACTAGATGTTGATAAGATAATCTCGAGTATACTTGTATAAAACGCATAGCGCTGGGTTATAGGAAATAAATAAACCGAAGACAAATATTGAATATATAATGTAGTATGTACCGCATCTTTCTTAAGATTATATAATAATAATTGAACACTGAAAATTTTTTTTTTTTTGAAAAAACTTGGGAACGCAAATGCTTTTATTTAACATTTTATATTGAATAAAGTCTTGGCGTTATCCTTAGACAAATATTTGGAAACGAGTATGAAGGTATTATCTTAAAATGAAATGAGTATGGTGGTATTTTTAACCATAATGCATATGAACATTTCGATTCGTATAATTTTTTAATCAATTTTTAATGCATAAACATATAAAATTAAAATTATAATAGTTACCTTTATAAAAGGCAAATAACAAGAAATAAAAATAATCTGACAACTCTAATTGTATGGAAAATACGCTTACCACGATTGTAGCGTAGTGCAAGATATTCTTCGGAAAAAAACAATTAGAATCTTAGATCCAGAAACTTTTTCACATCAGAATTTAAATCAAATCGGGATTTAATCTTGCTCACCACTCTCTAGTTTCACATGTCATCATTAGCGATCCATACCATATTTGAATTGATCCGGTCCGGTATTATGGGTTGGCATTAAATAAATACTATTTATAATGATTCTATTAATTTTTTTGTTTAAATTTGGTTCATTAGGCGACTAATGTCATATTTTCGATAGTTTCTATATAAGTAATCGACACGTGCCTGTAAAATTTGAGATAACAAAAAAAAAATTGATTTTTAAAACTTTAAATAATTTGCAACATAAAATTGATAGTTTCAAGGAATTAAACTAGTTATTTCACTAAGGAATTGTATGATTGAAAGTTATAAAATTTAACATTAACTAGATTAGGTTGGTGTGCGACGACTTTGTCGCCGCTAGTTATGGTTATTATACTGCTTTAGTTGTAATATATTCTTTATCAAGTTATCGCCGTGACGAGACGAAGGGTCCATCCAAAATGCCGCTTCCGCATTCGTCCGAAAGGGTGGAATCGGCCCTAACCTATAAAATCGAAAAGAATATTAATTAACAATAAAATAGACAATATAAATTACCTGACTGCGCCTTTGCAATAAGCCAAAGTGGTAAATCTAACCTATAAAATCATTAATCGAACAAAATTATTAATCAATAATTATTAATTAATTAACTTATTATTAATTAAATCAGGAATAGACAATACATAATAGTAGAAAAAAAATTTCATTATGCACCTGAATGTGCCGTCGCGGCAGATCCAAATCTTTTT